TCCTTAACAAATACTGGCAAACAGAATGCAGCAAATCTTCAAGATAACACACCATGACCAAGGGATGCAGGAGTGGTCCAACATATGTAAATCAATAAGCGTAATATACCCTACTAACAGAGCCAAGGACACAAACCATACGATCATCTCAACAGATGCAGAAAAGCTTCTGACAAAGTCCAGCACCCATTCATCAAAAACAAAACAAACAAAAAACCCCCACAGAAAATTGGAGTAGATGGTCTTCATCTCAATCTGATAAAAGCCATCTATAGCAAACCAACAGCCAACATCATACTCCATGGTCAAAGCCTGAATGCTTTCACTCTAAAATCAGGAACCAGACAAGGATGTCCACTATCATCACTCTTATTCATTATGGTTCTGTGTAGGAGGCCAGATAATGAATGGAGGTCGGGCTGACCTCCTTTGTGGGCAGAGAGGAGAAAGGCGGCAAGCTGTGCTCCTTTGCTGGCATGCAGGCGTGCTGGCACGGTGCAAGTTTCAGGAGGAGTCAACACGGCTGAGATGTGGTTGTCTACCTGGGCACATACTTCAGATGACAGGAGGCAGACGAGTCTGTGCTACTCTGAAAGCAGCATGAGCCAAGCGCTCAGGGCTCTTTGTCCACTAGAGGCAAGAGCCCCCTTCCCCCCTTTTTCTAAATTAATTCTGTGTCTTGTCTTTCACCTTATTCCTCAGTCCCCTGGCTGGGGTTAAACTTGTAGGTATTCGTATATTCCTAGTGGTCTCGGTTTCCTACAAATGATGCCTGAACAGGGACCTGACCAGCGAAAGCCCTCCTGGGTGAAAGATGCAGGCGTCAGTGACAGGAGTTCTGCAGCTGAGAGGAGCCAAGCAAGCTGGCAAAGCAAATTCAAAAGTGAGTGTGCACAGAACGCTTTCTCAGCCAGGGTGACGGGGCAGAATTCATCAACTGGAGTACACCGTTATACCACTTTATTGGCAATTCTGTGGCACCAGCCTGGCACTCTAGTCAGTACCCAGTGACTTTCTCATATATTACAAGATATTACCAAACAGAAATCCTTGGTTTCCTCAGACTGGCTGCTTCATGTCAAGGGTCGGGGTCAAGTGTGAGCAGGTTTGGTGCATGCCTGTGGCCAAGGCTCTGTTATAGCCCCTGAAACTTTCTCCACATGGTGTGTGGTCACGCAGTTCTTTGTCCTTTAACTGTGAAAAGACATTTCACACCTATTCCCCCTCTTGAGAGAAGATGCAAATGAGGGTGAAGAGCCCCGAGCTTCTGCTCGTCCTCCTTTCCTTCCATCTGTGGTGGCTACAGAAGTAGGGTCTCCTCACTAAAGCTTGGCTGGACAGGCTGTGCGTAGTGGACAGCCCTCTGGGGCGTGCACATTTCCAATTAGCGTCCGTCCTGGCCTTAACCATCTGCAACAAAATACTTGCGAGCATAATGTTTTGGGGTAGAAGTTGCTTAAAGAATGCAAACCCAGTGTCACAAACAACAGGGTTCAGGAATCTGTCGCACTGGGCTTGCTGGCGTCTGTCCTGGGAGCTCTTCGCTGCCCTCCTTCAGACACTGAGCATTTGGGGAGCTCTTGCTGCTCTGCAGGATACATTTCCATGTTTATTTTCAAAAGCTAACAGCTAAGCAAGCACAGTGGAGTCCAGTGGTGGGACATCCTGAGGTTACTGAGGACACGCTGTTGCAAACAGGTCCACACTCAGATCTAAGCCCACACTGAACCCTTCTGGACTGGGCTCACCAGCGTACGGCTCTCAGGGTGAAGCGAATCTGGGCACCTGTTCCCGAGGAAGGCCTTCCCACTCAGTCCCCTTTACATGTTTTTCAGGACTCTCAGGAGACCTAATGGCCAGCTCATAGATTGGTTATAAGAAATACCAGTAGCATACCTCACAAGAAACCCAAGACAGCAAAAACAATCCTGGGCAGTGAAGGTGAGGCAGGAGGCATCATAATTCCTGACTTCACATCATACTACAAAACGACTGTGATCAAAACAAAAAACAGTAATGACAATAAACTAGACCCAAGGATCAATGGGACAGACTAGAAGAGGCAAGAACAGCTCCAAGTGCACTCACCCAACTTATTTTCAACAAAAGGGCCAAACACCCTCACTGGAAGAAAGACCGCAAGATCACTTTTTTTTTGAGACAGAGCCTCATTATGCGGTTTGGGCTCTCTTTGTAGCCTAGGCTGGTCTTGAATTCACAGTGATTTTCCTGCCTCAGCCTCCTAAATGCTGGGATTACAGGGGTGTACCACCACACCTGGCTCAAATGTATAGTCTTACTTTTTTTGGAACCGGGGATTGAACTCATGCCCTTGCGCTTGCCAGGCAAGCACTTATTCTATGAAGCCATCTCCCCGGCCAGTCTTACTTAAAAATTAATTAATGTTTTCATATAGGGTCTCACTATGCAGCTCAGATTTACAGTGATCCTCCTGTCTCAGCCTCTCTAGTGCTGGGATTACAGGAGTGCCCTGCCACGCCTGTTTCTGGGGCCGACACGGCATACAATACCAGGGCTCAAGATGTGGGGTCTTGTACTTGCCAGGCAGGCACATATGCCACTAAGCTGTCTTCCCAAGACGGCCTCTTTACTAAATAGTGATGGGAAACTGGCTTTGCACGTGCTGAAGACAAACATTAGATCTATGTCTCTCACGTGCATTCAACTAAAATAAAAATGGATCGAAGATCTAAATATTAAAAAGAAAAACACTAAATCTGCTGGAAGATAGAACGGTTAGAACTCTTGACTATCTTGGGGTAGGCGAACATTTTATGAACAAAACCCTGACCACAAGGGAAATATCACGAAGAATTTACAACTGGGATCTCATTGTATTAAAAGCTTTTGCACAGGCAAAATAAATCATCAACAGAGTGAAGAGACAATCCATTGAATGGCAAAAAGTTTTTTCCAGCTGTTCCTCAGACAAGGGACTAACATCTAGAATATATAAAGAAAGTTGCTTAAAGAACTAAGAAAAAAGAACAGTAGACCAGCCCCCAAATTTATTTATTTATTTAGTATTTAGGACAGGTCTATAGCGTCTCACTACACAGATTGGACTCGTAGTGATCCGCTTGTTTTCAGCCTCCCAAGTGCTGGGATTACAGGCGCACACCAGCACATCCTGTCTCAATTGCCCTCTCAGCGTGCCCCGGCGGCGGGGCCGGCACGGCAGACCCGGGGATTGAGCTCCCAGCCCCTGCATCTGCCTATGCAGGCATTTTAATCCGCTGAGTTATTTGGCCAATCCTCGCCCCCAAATTTAAAGACCCAGGCTAAAAATGGGCATCTGAAATGGAAAAAACACTTCCTAGAGGAAGAAGTAGAAACAGTAAATAAATATGAAAAAATGTTCAACAGCACTGGTCATTGCAGAAATGCACATTCAAACAACACTGAGATACCCTCTCACTCCAGAAAGAATGGCTATCACAAAAAAAATCAACCAATAACCAATGCAGGAGGGGCTGTGGGGAAGAAGGAACCCTTCTCCACACTTGGTGGAGTGTAGACTGGTACAACCACTGCGGAAATCAGTGTGAAGATTCCTCAAAAAACTAGGACTGGCGGTTCTGTTTGTCCCAGCCACTCTCCCTCTTTGGAGTCTTCCTGAAATAATAAAAGCCTCAGACAACAGTGACATGTGCACACCCGTGTTTACAGCTGCACAGGTTGTAATAACTATATATCTTAGAAACAGCCAAAATACCCACCAACTGAGGAATGGATAAAGCACAGGTGCTGTTTGGGGTAAATACAATGGAGCACTACTCTGCCATGAAGAAGGACAAGCCTGAGACATTTGTAGGTAAGCAGATGCACCTGAGACCGTACTCGTACATGAAGTAAACGGAACACACACGTGTAAGTAACACATAGCTTTTCTGGTGTGAGAAACCAAGACATACACTAGATATTACAGCACAGGGAGAAATGCTCGCTGGGAAAGGAGAACAAGGAAGGGGAGGGGGAAATGAAGGAAAGGAAAAGAAAAAAGAAAAGAAGGAAAAACAAACCTTTTGTAAATAAGGAGAGGAAGAGGGTTTGAAGAGAATAAAGGAAGAGCATCAAAGGAACTGAGCTAAGTCATGTTCGGGTATAAAGTCCCTCTGATGAAAGTGATCGTATGTAGATTTACAACGTACCAATAAACTTAATTAATAAAAAACCCCATATGTGCCTGCTCAAATAATCAGAAACAAGTTAAAATAGCTTTCTGATCTGTTATGATGTATTATTTTTTATTTTATCTTTAATATATATTTTTTAATCTTTTATTTATTTGGTGCAGGGTCTTGCTATACAGCTTGGACTCATGGCGATCCTTCTGTCTCAGCCTCCCCAGCAGCGGGACTACAGGCATGTACCCCAGGCCTGGTTTTGGTGGCCTGCATGGCCTGCAGTACCAGGGACTGAACTGGGTCTTATGCTTGCCAAGCAGGTGCTTAGACCACTGAGCTAGCGCCCCAGCCCGTTAGATGTATATTGTTGCCTGCATCTACTCTGTAGGAGGTGAGTGACCTGGGGAGACTCCAGTGAAGGTAAGAATTAAGAGGGACTGGGCGTGGGGGAGCGTGCCTGGAATCCTAGGACTCAGGGAGGCTGAGGCAGGAGGGTTGCTGCAAGTTCAAGGCCAACCTGGGCTACACAGTGAGCTCAAGGCCAGGCTGGACTACACAGTGAGATTGTGCCTCAAAAAACAAAGGGCTGGTGAGATGGCTCAGTAGTCTAAAGCACCTACTTAGAACAAGCTAAGCTAAACAATGTACAGGGACCGTGGTTCAATCCCCCAGCACCATATGCCAGCCAGCCTCGCCCCCTGGTGGGCTGAGCTGGCCACACATGCACATACAAATAAATAAATAAATAAATAAATGTTAAAAAAAAAAAAAAGAAGTCAAGGGCTTCTAAAAACAAACAAATACCAATCAGGCGAAGTCAGGCAGGGAAAAGGGGGCCCACCCCACACTTACCTTCAGCCACTTCTAAAGGGCCTTGGGATTTTCGAAGCTCCTTCACTGTTTCCAAGAACTCTTTGCCTCCAGCCTTTTCCAAGGCTTTACCTGCAAACAACAAGAAGCCAAGGGGTTGGCTCTTCCCCACTCCCACGAGCTCAGGGTTTGTCCAGCCTGGGCTGACTGTGGCCCCAGGTGGGTGGCAAGGTGCTCCCCTCACTTCCCATCCTCTGATGCTTTGGGCCTTGATGCCTAGGCCTGGTCTCAGCTCGCTCTCTTTCCTAGTTATTACCATAAGCTGAGCATCCCTGACCCAAGAGTCTGAAATCCAAATCTGTCTGAACACGCACATGGAAGACTCCCCACAGCTCTCAAGTGATTGCTGGGTCAGAGTGAAAACCCACATCTGCTCAAGGCAGTGTAAATGACCTTCAGGCTTGGGGATAAGGTATACATGGGACAGACATGGTATTTAGACTTGGCATCCTTCTCCCAGATAGCTCCGTGTGGTTATGCAAATATCTCAACATCGAAACACTCCCAAATTGAAAACCTTTCTGCTCCAAAGCATTTCAGACAAAGGCTACTGGAGCTGTGTTATGGTTACTACTATTACTATTGTCTAGTTCAGGGGATTTCCTGGTGACAAGGTTTTCTCTCTCCACACTGAGGCACTCAAGTATTTTTGAACAGCCATCCTGCACTGTGAGGGTCATTTAGGACAAATGGCTGCTGTGGAAGCCACTGTCCCCTGGGCTGGGGAAGGGACCCTTCCTGCGTGAGTTTCTGTTTTGATGGTGCAAATGGGAAATGATGACTGCATTGTCAAGTGTTGTCTGCTGGGACTGGAAGTCCGGAAAGGGCCAAGTAACTGAAACTGGAAGAAGTTCATGCCCAGCAGCAGAGGAGCACATGCAAGTGCTGCACCCTGTGTTCAGGTCGGGGGCCAAAGGGAGTCATGGGACGCAGAATGGGTTCGCTGTCCTTACTGAAGACTGGGAAGGATAAAGCAGTGTGGAGCGCTGTGAGGCGGCTCCTCTTTGCAAGTGTTCCCAGGAAGAACGAAGGAAAGCTAGGATTAGGGTCTGAGGGTGTGGATGCCCGCACACAAGTACTAAGCACCAGACCTCGCTGCATCCTGATGCAAGAACACGACATCCCTGACCAAGGAGTCTTGTGCTGGCTACCGGGCCCAGAGAGCCAGCGTGCTGGCAAGTGTTAACCACCGCGCTGCGCTGCAGCCCAAAATCTACTGAAACTGAATCCTATGAAGAAGCCTTTTGATCCAACTGCTGATTCTGTGAGAGACACAGACACAGA